ATGAAGTTGGATTTGGAGGTGCTGCGGAGCCAGGTGGATGCCGATCCGTATCAAACTACTCGTGAACTGGCAGTCAACCTTGGGGAGTCAGTCCACAGTTCTTCGTGAATTGAAGTCAATCGACAAGGTGCGAAAGCTCGATCCATGGATGCCTCATGCTTTGAAGCAGTATGACATAGACCGCCGCGACGACGTGGCACTTTCTCTCCTCACGCTCAAGGGCACCACACGTGGCTCGAGTACATAGTCACCAGGGATGCGAAGTCGATCCTCTACCCTAACTTTTAACGGCGTGCTCAATAGATTGACAAAGGTGCGGATGCAGAAGACTCCCCCAAACCCAACGTACACACCAAGGAGGTTATGCTCTGATTATGGTGGAGCGTTCACGGTGTCGAATAATGGGAGCTGCTAGGCGAAGAATGCACAGTGACCGCACACATATACAATACGCAACTGGGGAATTTGAAGGCGAATCCCGAAGCTACACGTCCACAGCAGCACAAAGTTCACTTCCAGCAGGACAACGCTCGCCTCACATTGCAAGAACGACCAAAACTGAACTGACGAATTCCGGCAGGACAAGTTTACCATACCAACCATGTTCCTCAGACTTGGTTCCTTCGGATTACCAGACTTTTCCCCATCTTCTATGTCATCTGGATGGTCAGGACTTTCAAACCCGCGACGACATCAAAATGGCACTGGAGCAGTTCTCCAAGGGGCAGCTCCCAGCGTTCTAAAGATGCCTACGATCTGCCCAAACATTGGCAGAAGACCATCGATGCCAATGAGGCATATTTCAAATGATTCGCTATTGTCGTTTAAAAATTGTAAGATAAACATTATCATTGCCAATTTGTCCGAGGACTTATGACTCAACCTAATACATATCAGCCCTTTAAAGCTTGAAATTTTACGCATTAAAACATCATTGTGCACACATAGGGATCCGTCTCTTTTACCCTTTCTCAATGTCCTACTATATTTGGCCATTATTCGTCTTTTCCGCACCTGGTCTAGAGTTTTCTACTTCCCGCTATCACGGCGATGTCGAGCAACGTAGCCTTCGGTGCTCTCTCCATGTTTTGCCTTTACTACGGTATCTAGAATTAATATTACGAGGAAAATACGGTGCTGATCTCAGGTGCACCGCAAACTATAATAGATAGCTACTTCTCTTGCAATGTGGTTTTCGTAAAGCTGCCTTGGCGCCGTTGTACACGTCTTTCACGAGGACATTGCTTTTTTGGACATCGTTTTTGTACGCCCTTCAAAGCATTTGTCGTGAGTTTGAAGGTCGTATGACTTCCCAGATTAAGGAAGGCTATATAACAAGTCAAACGCTTCCCCATCACAGGCCTAGTGTGAAGGAAGCACGTTGACCCGTTGCAGACCTTTCGAGTTTGAAACCAAATTTTTGTGTGCGCACCGTCACCCTGACCTGTCGATACTGAGACCATTCCAGTACCATTTCTCTACTTCAAGGACAAACAAATTTCGTGCTTTACCCTCCGAGTGCTTTACCAGCTTATTTGGTACTCCATCTGAAACCGCCCCTTTTCGATTGGCTTCAACTTCTGTACAAAGCGCGTCCTGATGAAACCTGAGAAGCGAATTCCGAAGGGAACCTGTAGAGATGCTGGTGGAGCATTCAACCCATCTTCTTTTGAATTCAGTTGTTTTTTTTTTCAGAACCATCGCCATTCTCAAAGGTTTCTACAACCTTGATGTCCTAAATAGTGTGATACTTCGCTCGGGTCATTCGTAAATGATTCTATATGCTTTTCGATCCTTGAACTTTTCAAGTAGGGCAACCGTTTTCATACTTGCGCCCTGGCTACGATCGCATCGGCGAGTTTTTTGTGACTGTTTGAGGTGGAGTTTCCTGAACTTACTGGTTAGTGTATGTACTCTTCCAGTGCTTGTACGCTTCCTGCTTCACAAACCGTTGAACGCCTTCGTCCATCACCGGACCCTTCCCATTGAGCCTACTTCGTGTCGTATTTCATCCTGTATTTCATCCTAGGATGATCATGGCTTCATTGATCCAGGATTTTGGAACGATCCATATCGAATTTCAGACCAGTTTCCAGAACGTCCATTTTTTGGTCTCTCTCAACCGATTGCAGTGGTTTCCAACAAGATTTGTATAAACTAAGTTCGCAGGCTTGGAACACATATACACTATACAAGAACTCATGCTAATGCTTTGGTTCTAAAATGCGTGAGAGGGTGCCGATCACTGCATAACCAGGATGTGGTAGTATTATTTTAAGCGCTGATTGTTGCCATCACCAATTTAATTGTAAGCCGTGAGTCCAGAGTTACATTCTTCTCATAGAAATAGCTCAATATTCATCTGGAAAATGTTTGGCTTTCATGCTGTGTTGGGATACGTAGGTAGCTTAGTTCGCGATTGCAATTTTAGCCAACAGAACAGAGCACTTTGCTCTGTGCCTGTTATATTTATGTTCTCATTCCAGCGAAGATTCATCATTCTTCAGATTTCCGGAACAACCAGACAGTTCTTAATGCCTTTTTTCTCCGATTACAAACTTTTGATAGAACGGCTTTCTAAATTCATCAGTCACTTAACGACAAGATTGTTGCAGTTGTGACATGACATTAGTAGTGCGTTCTATCGTTCATGTGGGCATGAGTCGAAAAAAACTGTCAATCACTGTTGCACATTTTAAGGATAATATAGTAAGCATGATATTCAGTCATTACATACAAGCTATAGCCAGTGTTAAGCGGCACTTAGCGTCACTGCGTGCCTAATAGAAGTTGGGTGACAGTGGCAAGTGATTTCTTACATGTAGAAATGTGAGTCACTTACTATCTGCGTGGTCTCCCTACCGAACTGGCTCTCACGGAATGTTTGTAGCGGACTTCCAGAATGTGCAGGGAGGTCGTTCACATTTGATGTCGTTATTTCCTGTGATTATTAGTCGTATGGTATAACGAAGTTTGAGTAATGATCTAGTAGTCTCTCGGCAAGATCATTTTTATTGAATTCTAGAGATACCTCATGGTTCATGGTTTACCGTAACCATTTCTGCGAATTGGTCAATACAGTTTGTCAGAAGTTGAAATTGCAATCGGATTATCTCTTGAAAAGTTTTAGGCTAGCCACTTTTCCTCAATTCGAGAACGATGATTAACCTCTGAGAGATTAGTGAAAAAGGGCAGTGTCATATAAACCTATAATACTCTCTCTACATATCGTCGTTCACCAATGTGGTTGCGGGTGATTGATCATCCATTTATTTTCCCATTCAATTTATTGCTAACAATAAGATGCCCTTTGTGAAATAGCAAAGCAAAGCAATTGTAGACTTTGGGAACACAGGGCAATCGCAAGTAGTAAAAAGTGAGCTCCAATGTAAACTTTGGTCTTCACTATTGAAGGAATGGAGGAAAGGGAGCATAAAATTGGGCTAACGCAAGCCAGTGCGTTTCCAATCTTTTGGGACAATCTTTTGGGAACTTCTTTTGGAAAACATTGTGCGCGAAACTTGGCTGTGAGCGGATACCGCCAGGATCCCTTCAAATACATAGAGAACCCCTTATATCGAAAGACTACCACACTCACGCTTTTCATCTAATTACAAACTATCGAACTCCGACCTCTCTGATAATTCTGACTTTTAGAGCAAATCGCTTTCGAATCATTGAAGTTTTTCCGCTTATTTCTTTTAGTACACCTTTCATGTATTTCTACCTTACTTCATAACGATATCGACAGTGACGAATTTCGTTCGGCCGCTCTTCTCTTTCTCGCTCGGGTATATGATGTGTCGTAATAACTAGTAACAAAACAGGAACTCTGTTTATTATATTTATTCGTCTTACGTTAAGGCATGGAAGAGAAATTGAAAGAGCTGTTTACACCCATCGATGAGTTGAGGATAACGGAGCCGTCGTATTTTACAAGTCACTCATCCGTGGCATCAAATGCTGCTGCTATGGCATCATTCAGCCAGGTATTCATTTTCGCCTAGTGCTTTTGGAGTAAAGAAACTGCGTAAGTGCGAGTAATGAATAATTTTAGCTTCATTGAGGATTATTCTAGAAAACTCCAGTCATGGCTCTTGATGAGGGATCGCGTCGGGTCTACGGTGTCGCTCCGGAGTACCAATTAATCTCAGAGGTAAGATTCAAAAAATTGCATCTATGACGCTCTTCATATTCTGAGTCGTGAAGGCATCGATAAGGGCTACAGGCTTTTTTCACCAGTACATTCAGACTTTGACACGAGTCGGTTGTCTATCGTCAGTTTATCTCTTCAGAGCACATTCTCACCTGAAATCTAAGGGCGTAAATGGTGAAGATAGAGATGAATGTAAATGGATGATAAAGATAGGTTAGGTTATGAACTTGTGCGCTAGCAGGATCCCGTCTACGGTTTCGGTTACTCTTGCCGTCTAATGGGTAGTTGTGTGCAAGCATATGCAAAGACGAAGAAGGCAGCCAAACACTTGGCTGCACGAGCTATGCTTCATGAAGTCATCAAAAAGGATCGGCATGTTGATTTCAATATACCAGGTCAATCTCAGGAAGAAGCCCATAAAGCAGTGTAAGCTGTTGAGCTTATTAGAATATTCCTGCCTAAGAATTGTATACTGTGGTAATCGTGATTCAGGGATGGTCTTATGATTGGCGACAGTCGGACTGAAAATTCCTGTGACGAATCTTCTTCCCCTGGTGGCCAAAATGAAAATTATTCCGGGAAACTGCTGCAGTTGTTAGTCTTCTTTGTTTCTCGCTACCAGCAGGTGTTATTTCGCTAGAAGATAAGTTTTCTATTGAGGTGCCAGAGGAAAAAATTCGATATACCTCAATACAGTCACAGAGAAGAGGGACCTCCAAATGACAGGACTTTTATCACTACTTGTAAGGTAGGCACTCACTTTTCTAGACTATGTCTTTCTTTAAAAACAAGACAACAAAAAGAGTCAAGCTCCTAAACAGACCCATATTTCTCGGCGCTCGAACTTCAAGACATACCTTAACCCACTGGCGAATGAGCCTTTTAAGCGTGTCTGGCGTCTGGGTCCAAGCACGGTTTTCACGGGCTGTTGCTGTGACCCGCCGACGGGCCACGCGGTCCCAGGAGCAATCTATTAGGTTGATGCGTAATTATTGCTGATTTTTTCGCGGTTTCTTTTCTCTCGATAAAACTATACTTTCGAATTCGGGATTTTTGTAGAAACACTCTTCTCGCTTTCCTAAACAGAACTATGTCTAGAGAGTCATCTTCATATACACCAAAGTATGCTCTAATACTTCGAGAAATGTTGAAAGGCGGCACACTCATAACGTGATCTCAACGAGCTTCTCGGCGATGGAGCAGTCAGCCAAAGCCGAACAAAGGATGGAATCTGCTTCTGCGGTCACCCTATTCACCAACAGATACTCCTATGGGTTATCACGTTGATCGCCAGTTGGAAAATTGGTTGAAGGCACAGTTCACGATAGTTTTGAGGTATCCCTTTTTATTCAAAAAGCGGAAGTATAGGCTGGGAACAACTCACTGGTACCAAAGAAAGCGAGAAAGTTCGTCACTTTCGAGAAAAATAAGGCTCCACAAAAGTATGGAAAGTAAAGCTTGGACGAGATCGCCACGAAGGAAATAACATGGAAGGGGTATTCGGACGAGATTTCAGCTAGTGCAGTTGCACTAAGAGCCGACTACATCATGCCAAAATTGTTCAGAACGGGGGACGGAACTTACGTGCGTCCGAGGACGCGCGCGGCAAACTGTGCGGCGAAGTGCGTGGGGATACGAACGACTCTGGCGCCTATCATTGGGGCCCAAATTTGAAGTAGAGTAGATCAGTAGTATCAGCTGACCCTACTAAACTACTCTACTTCGAGTTTGGGCCCCAATGCTAGGCGCCAGAGTCGTTCGAATCACCACGCACTTCGCCGCGCAATTTGCCGCGCGCATCCTCGGACGCNCGTAAGTACCCATACCCGTTCAGAACTGCCTTTCACTGTTGTTAAGGATCACGACAAGTTGTTTGAGCCTCCTACATGGGTTCCCTTGCAAGCGGTGCAGCCTCTACAAAGCCGATGAAACTCGTCCACGCATACACACGGCCCAGTCTTCGAGCCTTCATAGCTCCCTAACTATGCCGTTTTCCGACCTGATAGCGCCAGATATGGTATACGAGGGGCCTCGAATTCATACTATGGGGGAATCTCAGAAACTATTTTCATCGTGAACTGTGCCTTTAACGGACACAACTTTCGACGAAGTGGATGATGGCCAACGTCAAGGTGTGATTTCGTCAAAGAATCGAAACTTCTTCGCCTCAGGATTCCGACTGCCTTGCAAATGGGAAGCAGTGCTTGACGTAGATGGTGGATATGTTCCGGAACATGTTATTTGAACATGTCGTTGCTGGATATTTCCAGCGTTTCTTCGAGTAAAACTTGCTGAAAAAAATCCTCAATAATTATGCGTCAACCTAATAGCTTTTTGCGAGTTGTTCCTCTGAGATAAAGTTCTATAAAAATGTCATGATAAGTCATCCACAATTTGACATCTATTCTTGTTTTGTTGTTTTCTTGGTGGGAACGTTTTTTCAAACCATTTCTGACCTTCATAGCGTGTGGAATCGAGGCTCCAGCAGAATACAAAAGCATCCTGCCCAGACACGAGGG